AGATGCAGTACTGACGGACAGGGCCCCTTGGTGTCTCTGAATGGTCGCATTAAATCCTGAAAATATTTAAGCATCCAAGGAGATCAAGTGTATTTTCTTATGCTGAATGTTTTCCTAAAGATGGTAGGTATTTTCCAGACGACAATATCAATATCTTTCGTGTCGGTGTTATTCGTGACTGTTTGAAGAGGTGTTTCCATCATCTTCATTGGCCAACAAAATCTTCAGATCATCTTTTTCCTTTAACCCTGATGGATTTGGAGCCAATATCACTTGAAGAGTGGATGAAATTCAAACATAATCCAAAAATTAGTGGACTTTATATCACGGCGGATTCAGCCCGTGAGTGAAGCGTGCAGTAATCGAACAAGCTAGTAGAACAAGATTTCCCATTTGTGTCCAGTCAGTTTGATTAAAACGTCTGACTGAACGCCATACACGACACAACGTATTTGCAAAATATTAACGTGTATGCTCATTATTACCAGTAGGCGTTAATAAAGTATTCGATCGTGCGGAATTGTAAGAATGCATACTAGAAATATACTAGTGACGTTTAATGCTAGCATTAAAATTTTTCCTTTCGCTGAATGAAACTACAAAAGACATTGGTGGCGCGCGAGTGTACATGTCGTGTATTGTGTTATAGATTAGAGACGAGAAATCTACTTGAAGTAAATATATCGTACGTAGGGACGGCTGATATGGGTACTAAAAACTTTTATTTAAAACTCAAAATAAGTAACAACGTTTCGACCTCTTTGTGTCATCATCAGGAGTTGAATATTTAACCAAAATGAGTTGATCTTTGGTTGTTATTATTGTCAGTTTAGTGTTCCCACTGACTAATCGATGTTAAAAAGAAAAATTTGAACTTGAAATTCTCTGTGTAACAAAAATTCAAAGTCAATTTAGAGTAAGTTTGAGATGCTATACTATCATACAAAAACAAAGAACAATACTATGTATAAATATAAAAAAGTGTACGTTCGACAACACATCTGTTGGAAAGAGGTGTAAGTTAATTAGTTGCTGTTTTACCTAGGCAACCTTTGAAATTAGCCTTTGTGCTGTGAAAACAATCCGTTGTATCATTTATGCTTAACGTCGAGTAAATGTTTTTGTAATTAGTTGCTGTTTTACCTAGGCAACCTTTGAAATTAGCCTTTGTGCTATGAAAACAATCCGTTGTATCATTTATGCTTAACGTCGAGTAAATGTTTTTGCGCTTGTGTGCGCTCTGTTTATTATTAGAAGGTTTTTCGAGACTACATCGAAAATCTTATTTGTCATTTAACGTACTTACTGTCTAACAGAACAATGATTATTTTTTTATTTAGGCTGAAATTTGTTTTGTAATATTTCGTCAGTGTTCACTTGAGTATTTCATTTGGAAGTTTCGTCAGAAAATTTCTAACAGAATAATGACAGTAATATGCAAGATATTGAAGACAATGAAATATGCCAATCATCTTCCAGTGTTATAAAGGAGTATTGGAGGAGCTCAAATATCTATAAGAACACTTTCAATGATATCTTAACTAAGCACTCTATCTAATTTACCTATTTGAAAGTTGAAGAAGTGTTTTGGATAATTTTGCAGTTACGTACCTTACCGTTAAATGATTCAACCGATAGAAATATAGTTATTTCTCTGTTTTGTGGAGACTTAAAAGTAGACACTCATGTTTTCTGTTCAGGGATGTCATGCTTGTTTGTATCTTAATTATGTGCAAAGGTAGGGGCTGTCAAACAAAACTGACACTATTACTGACCAATCACTATTGGTAGTTTGCATTGACAGACGCAGCTTGTTTGTGGACCTTTTGATTGCACCAGTGAAGCTGGGGGTGTAGACAGGGCGGGCCCCACGTGGAGGGGAAGAAACGGGGAGCAGTCCGCTTGACAGTGCGGAAGGAAGCACGTGTTACTAATATAATAGATTTGACTGGCGAGGCGTGCTTTTAGATGAATAGAAGAGTGTACGCAAACACACACACACGTAAGTTCTGCGTGCCGCGTTTCGAATTTGATATGGTTGAGGATAAAATTAATACTGCTAGGGAGAAGACATTGATTTATCTTTTTATTTAATATTTGACCAATTAATCAATAGTTTCTTACGCCGACTGCCCTGTGTTTATATATATCATATCCCGTATTTTCCTTGTTTCAACACAGGTGCACACTGATAATTCACATCTGACAACCCTTATAACATTTATAATATATTGCGTGGAAAAATATATTACAAGCTAGCGAGGAATACGTATAGCATATATATAGATTTTTCTGTGAGATAAGACTCGCTAGCTCAAACATTTACGCACCAACTTCCGGTTTCATTGGTTAACATGGGCCATTTTCGCTAATTTAGTAGAGTAATAATTGCACTGTTCAAATTTTGCTGACCGGCTTTGTAGTTAATTTTCCGTGTTTTGTACATAGTAAAAAAAAAAAAAAGCGTGAGAAAAAAAAAATTGAAGAAC